CCTTGCCCGCCTCCCTCCGCCGCCCCCCCCGCGCCTTTTCAATTCAAGCAGCCCTCCCCGCGGGTCCCGCGGCGCCCCTCCCCGCGCCGCTGCCGCCAGCGGCCGCGGGCGCTTCGCGGGCGCATGGCGAGCGAGGGCGCGGCCAGCAGCGCCATGGACAACTCCGCGGAGGCGCTGGGAATTCAGAAAACGCCTGCTCAGCCCGAAGCGTCCGCTTGGGCAGTGCAGGCTGATTTCCTGGATTCCTGTTGAGGTGCACATGGCGGCTTCAGATGCGAGCCAGTCGCTTTTCGAGCAGGTCGCCGAAGCCTTGAACCTCTTCGAGATGTTCGCCCAGGCTCGAGGGAAACGGATCGAGCGCGCCCGACGCCCATGCGGCCCCGCCCCCGTTCGCCCGCGTTGGCCTGGATGCAGGCGGCGGCGGGGCAGGGCCCAGAAGCGACGGTGCTCTCGGCGTTTACCTTGCCTTGCGCAGGAGGCAGGCATGGATGACATCATCGCCGATCCCGCGCCGCCAGGCTGGCAGACGGCGGAGTGCCCTGGCAGCAGCAGCAGCGACCCCTCGCCAGAGGCGAAGCAAGGACCGACGCTCATCCCCGTCCACAATCAGGGCGCGGCGCCGAAGTCGCCGCCACGTCGCACCCGAGACGCTGGCGGCACGTGGCGGGCGGAGCAGCAGCAGCAGCAGCAGGAGGTGCAGCAGCAGCAGCAGCAGCCGCCGTCGGAGAAGCCTCAGCCGCCGTGGCGCCAGGCGCAACCGCCAGCAGGCGCGCCCAACGTGGGCGCCTCAGGCGCGCCCAACGTGGGCGCCTTCGTCGCCAAGGTACCCGAAGTGCCGAAAGCGTCTGCGGCGCCAGAGGACGTGGTGCAGGCGTACAAGTTCTTGCGCTCGCTGCTGAGCGAGAGCGCGCCGATCGCCTGGAACTCCAAGCGCGTCCAGGAGCCACTGGAGCTGCTGCAGCGCTACGTCGGCATCTGGGGTCGCGCCAGCAGGGGGCCGCCCGCGCCCATGCACGGTGGCCCGCAATTCTGGCGCGGCCAGACGTGGCGCAAGAGCGGGCAGCGCTGGGGCAACCGTGGTGGTTCAGGCCCCAAGTCGGAGTGGTACGCCTCCAAATACGGCCGCGCGCCACCGCGCCGCTCGCTCCAGGACAGCGGCGGCGGCCCGTACCTCGCGCCGACGCCGCCGCCGCCACCGCCGCCACCGCCGCCCCCGCGGCCGACGGCCGCGAGTTCGGCGCCCGCGGCAAAGGCAGCGGCCGCGCGGCCGCCTCCACTGCCCCTGACGGTCAAGGCGATGCCTTCCAAGAACCGCGGGCTGTACCTCTGAGACTCGCGGGCCGCGGGCTTTGACAACCCCCTCGGAGGTCAGACGCCGACTGAAACATCCATGAGGGGCGGGGGGACGTGAGAGCGGAGAGGTGATGGACGGTGAGCCAGGAGACAAATGGAAAGAGAGCGGAGTGGAAGTTTCAGTCGGCATCTGATTTTCCGATTTTCAGGTGCCGTTCTTCGCCGCTGGCGGCTGTCGCGGTAGGCGTGCGCCGCGCTCGCGGGACCGTTCGCGAATATCCTTTGCGCGCGTCGCCAGCAAAAAATCGGCGGGGCACCGCCTGTCATGGGCTCTCGTCGGCGGCACTCCGCCTAACTTCGGCGGTGCACCGCCCGCGCGCGCTGGACTCCCAGCACTCCCCCCCATTCAGCTTCGGCGGTGTACCGCCTGTGCGTGCTCCACGCTCCCTGCACGCCTCCTCCATTCCTCTTATGATGTTTTCCGCAGCCGCAGGCTCCAGGCTGCGCTTGCGCCGCGCTTTTCCCGCGCGCGCCTTCGCGGGCGCCCATCCGCCGTCCTCGGCGCGCTCTCGCAGCCTTCGCGGCCGCCTCCCTTCGCGCCGTCTTTGGCGCGCTCTCGATCGCGTGCCTCCAGTGCGCCATCGAGCTCTTCTCTTCGCGAGATGCCCATGATCAGCGTCTTCGGGTGCACGTGCCCGTTGTCGGGGACCTACTCGAAAGGCGGGAGTTTCTTCAAGGGCGCGTCGCGAGATGAGGCCCTGTCGAGGCTCAAGACGCACTTGGTGAAGTCGAGCTACCACCTCCTCGAGGATGTCGACGCGGATCTTCAACTGGCCATCGCCGAGGTCGGCGCGCCCAAACGATTGCTTGCCCACGTCTTTCGGCGAACCTCGGTGGCGCTCGGCTCACCGAGGTCCGAGCGCCTTCGAGGTTCGACGAATGGCGCGAGCGATCGCGGGGCGCGCTTGAAGGTCGAGGAGTGGACTGAGGACACGGACGAGTGGGAGCGCTGGCAGAAGGCCAACGACGAGCAGTGGTGCAAGAACAACCGCCGCCGTGGCGCTCGCAGTGCGCCGTACCAGCCTCCCGAGCAGGTCGCTCCACTCAGCCAGAGTGCAGTGGCGGCGGCCTTCCCGAAGGGCAGCGGCAAGGGCGGTCCGCTTCAGCTCAACATGAGCGGAGCGAGCTCGCCCGTCAGCGCCAACATCGCGCCCGAGGCCACCGTGCAGCTGAACTCAGCGCAGGCGCAGGTGATCCTCGACAGCGTCACGAGGGCGAGGATGTGCTCGGCGGCCTGCCTGGCAGTGGCGGAGCGGTCGGCCGTGGCGTTCCGCGCCGAGCAGGCGGCCCTCGCCGACCTGCAGGAGACGCTGGCCAGCTGGCTCTCCAACAACGCGTCGTGAGGCCACGTTGGGGTCCTCCCGTCGCGGCGGCGTCGGCCGCCCCCTTCGGCCGCCTCGTCGGCCGCCCTCTTCGGCCGCCTCGTCGGCCTAGCAGCCCGCCGCGCCGCCCGCGCAGGGCTTGCATCGGCCGCGTAGGCCGCCTTGGGCCCCGCGGGGGTTCGACGCCGACTGACAGATCGGGGAGGGGCACGGTGAGGGAGGTGCGGAGGGAAGGGGCATGGAGAGGAGCATGGGAGGGGGGTGCGGCATGGGGAGGGGCATGAGAATCGGGGTGGGGCGGAAAGGCTGTCGGTCGGCTTCTGACCCCCGCAACTCTTCGGCGCATCCGCGCGGTCGCTCGCGCGCGCGCGGGCCGCGCGCGCACTCTTATTTTTGGCGGGTCCGCCATTCTTTCTTGGAAAACTGCGATCATCATCATCAACATCATCGTCATCATCATCATCATCATCATCATCATCATCATCATCATCATCATCATGAGTAGCATTGCCATTCTCATCCTCATCATTCCGATCACCCCCATAGGAGGAGAAGGAAGAGGAGGAGTGGTGGCGAGGAGAGGGCGAGGAAGAGGAGGAGGGGGAGGAGGAGGAGGAGGAGGAGGAGGAAGGGGGGGGGGAGGAGTCCTTCCCCACCATTTTTCATCATCATTCTCACCATCATCATTCCGATCACCACCATCGGAGGAGGAGGAGAAGGAGGAGGAGGAGCAGCAGGAGGAGGAGTGGTGAGGAAAGAGAATGAGGAGGAGGAGGAGGAGAGGGAACGATCTCGGCGCGGCTGCGATGAGGGCTGGTTTCCTGCGCCGCGTATCGCGGCGTATCCTGGCGTATCCTGGCGTATCCTGGCGTGTCCTGGCGTATCGCGGCGTATCGCGCGACGGCGCGCCGCGATGCGCCAGGATACGCCAAGATACGCCGCGATACGCCAGGATACGCCAGGATACGCCCGTATCCTGCCGCATCCTGGCGTATCCTGGCGCATCGCGGGGTGCCGCGGAGCGCGATGCGCCAGGATGCGCCAGGATACGCCAGGATACGCCAGGATACGCCGCGATACGCGGCGCAGGAACGCAGCCCTCAGCGCAGCCGCGCCGAGCTCGTTCCGATTCTTCGGAATCGCCATCACCATCACCATCGCCACCTCGCCATCTCACCTTCACCACCACATCGCCATCGCCACCTCGCCATCACCACCTCACCATCACCAGAAATCATCGTCAGCACCTCGCCACCACCATCATCGCCACCACCAGCATCATCGTCGTCACCACCATCAGCATCACAACCTTACCACCACGTAGTCGTCGGCGGCGCACCGCCCATCGGTTGGACTTGTCCGCTGTGCTCCGCCCTTTGTTTTGTTTGACGTTTCCGTCGGCGGTGCACCGCCCATTGCCTGGTTGCACAATTTCGTCGGCGGCGCACCGCCCATGGATCGTCGTTGTCGGCGGCGCACCGCCCATTGTATGATTAGACAATTTCGTCGGCGGTGCACCGCCCATCGGTTGGACTTGTCGGCGGCGCACCGCCCAATTTATGATTGGGCAATCTCGTCGGCGGTGCACCGCCAATCGGTCGTCGTTGTCGGCGGCGCAGCGCGCATTGTATGGTTGCACAATTTCGTCGGCGGCGCACCGCCCTTCGATCGTCGTTGTCGGCGGCACACCGCCCATTGCATGGTTAGACAAGTTCGTCGGCGGCGCACCGCCCATCGATCCTCGTCGTCGGCGGCGCACCGCCCATTGTTTGCATGTATATTCGTGAGCGCCACGCCGATCATTTGTTTTCCTTGTCGCGGCTGTCGCATCGCGCCGCGCGTTTTCGGCGGCGCACCGCCTGTTGTTCCAATTGTGTAGGCTGTGTTGCGCAGCCTTGTCCACTTCTCCAGAACCAACCTGCTCTCTCATCCGCCTTGCCCCTTGTTCCCTTTCATCCTCGCGCCGTGTTCTCGACAGCCGTTTTGTGCTGGCGCGCGGCCGCGGGGGCCGCGCGCGCGGCCGCGGGGGCCGCGGCGCCGCGGGCCATGGCGGCCGCCGAGGAGGAGTCGCCCGTGCCCCCCTTCTTGCACGAGGGCGTCAAGTCACCCGCGCCGTCCGAAGACAGCTCGCAGGAAGAAGGCTCGAGGCCGCAGGCAGCAGACTCGTTCAAGAACGAGCCGCAGGAAGCAGGCTCGAGGCCGCAGGAGCTTGGTTCTGTGAAGGCCGAGGAAGGCGACACCTCGGCGGAGGCCAGTGCAGCTCCGCCTTGGCCCAAGGCCTCCTCGCCTGCGACTCCGCAGGAGCCCCCGCAGCGCGTGCCTGAGGAGGTCGCGGCCGCTGCGAAACCAAAGGCGGGGAAGGCGGGGCGGCCTCTCCTCAGGCGCCCCGCCGCCGTGCCGCCCGCCAAGCAGCCCCCGTCGCAGCGCTCGCTTTCTCAGTTCTTGACCGCGAAGAAGGGCGGCGGCGCACCGCCTGCGAAGGCAAAGGCGAGCGCGGAGCCCAAGGCAAAGGCCAAACAGAAAGCGAAGAAGAAGCCAGCAGCGGCGGCACCTTCGACGGCGGAGGACGCAGCAGCAGGGGCGGACGAGGCAGAGCCACAGCAGCAGGCCCAGACGCAGCACGACAAGAAGTCGGTTGCAGCCTCGCAAGCACCGCCGGCAGCGGAGGAGGATGCAGAGCCACAGCAGCAGCGTCAGGATGCAGCGCCGACGGAGGCAGAGGCGGCAGCAGAGGAGCCGCAGGCCGCGCCCTCAGACACGTTCGAGGCCGCCACGGACGAAGCAAAAGATGACTACGGCCGCTTCACGACGGGCTACGACCCACCCTGTCCAGGCCCGACGTGCGCCAAGTGCGGTCGGGATGCGGAGAGCGTCCGCTTCAGGCTCGCCCAGAAGAGCGCCAACACGTGGTGGTGTGGGAGCTGCAACAGCAAGAGTTCGATGGTGCAGCGCTGCTATGCGCACTGGCCACCGCGCTCGTTCGCTCTCATGCGCAAGGCGGACCAGCAGGCGTTCTGGCGCTCGATGGACGACCCTTCCATTGAGAACAACGCTCAGTTCGAAGAGGAGCTGGTGAGGGTCCTCAGCGTCTCGAGGAAGGAACGCCTCACGGAGACCAAGGGCGGGGATTGGAAGCCCTTGTCCGTCTGGGCCCAGGAGGGGTACGACGCGGACGCCGTCCGTGCCAACAACGACGTGAGGTACAATTCCGACTTGAAGCAGGATTGTTACCGCATCCGCATCGAGGGCAGCAGGCAGGAGAACATCGAAGAGACAGTGAGGCAGGAGCTCCGCCAGAACAGGAAGCCGCCGAGGCCATCCCCACCGAAGCATGAGAGAGCCGTGGAGCCACTCCCGCAAAAGACGCACCGCTCGCCGAGCGGTGGCTACGAGGGCCCCACAGGCGCTGGTCGCCGTTCGACGAGTCGGAGCGGCGACAGCGACTGTTCGCAGAACCGCCAGCTGAAGCGGGGCCACTCCAGCAGCGGCGACGGCGCGGACCGCTTCCCCAGCCGCGGCCGCAAGCGCAGCAGCCGCGGCCGCAGGGCGGACAGCCGCCAGAAGCACCGCTCTTCCAGAGGTTCCCGCAGAGCCGACGCGAAGGGCCGCCGCTCGAGGAGCCGCAGGGCGCACAGCAAGAAGGAGAAGGCCCGCTCGAGGAGCCGCAGGGCGCACAGCAAGAAGGACAAGGCCCGCTCGAGGAGCCGCAGGGCGCACAGCAAGAAGGACAGCCGCAAGACGGGTCGCTCCCAGTCTCGCGAGAAGCAGCGCTCGAGGAGCCGCAACGACCACGGCAAGAAAGGGAGGGACTCGCGCAGTCGCATCAGGAGGGAACGCAGCGAGCAGAAGCGTGTCCAGAAGGCCATCAAGGACCGCAAGGCGTTGGCGATGAAGACGCTGGAAAAGACGGGGTCCTGGGACGTGCAGCTCGCATCGCTCCTCGACGACGAGGACTGCTCCAGGGTGCCGACCTGGGCGGTGAAGAACGCGAAGGACAGCCACAAGGATCTCTCGAAGCTCAGGGAGGCCGCGAAGACCGCGCTCGAGGACCCCAGGGCGAGCTTGCCGTACGAGGCGAAGGCCCTGGAGGCAGCCCTCGCCGACGCAAAGACCGCTGTCGGTGGCCTGCGTTCGGCCATCGAGCACGCGAGCTGCTCAACGGCCTTTTCATCCATCGTGGATGGCGGTGCTCCGCCGATCGACCGCTCGACTGCCGATCGATCGATCGAAGATTTTGCTGATCGGCCGCTCGACCCATCGAAGATTTCGCCGATCGACCGCCGACCGATCGCGTTCGGATCGGTCGACCGCCGATCGATCGATCGACCGCCGATCGAGCGCCGTTCGATCGCGATCGACCGCCGATCGATCGCGTTCGACCGCCGATCGATCGCGTTTGCGCCCCGATCATCCTTCTACAGGCCAAGAAGTACAGCAAGAAGAACACCTCGAAGGACTGAGCTCGGCGGCGGCTGCCCTGCTCAGCCCCCAGCCGCTGCGACGCGCGCTGGGGCGCGCTGGAGGCGCGCTGAAAGTCTGCCCCCGCCCGCGCAGACTTCCCTCGCTTAGACAAAAACTGTATTCCTCCGTGGTCCGCCTCCCTTTCCTCGTGCACGGCGTCCTTGTAGCCATGCTCCTCTTATTTCTGGCGGTGCACCGCCCATGGGCAGCATCCGCCGACGGCGGTAGTTTGCCTCCTGTCCACACCCCGCACTCTTCTGGCGGTACACCGCCCGTTGCCAGCCATCCGCCGACGGCGGTACTCCGCCTCCTGTCCATGCCCCGCACTCTTCTGGCGGTGCACCGCCCGTGTGCAGCCATCCGTCGTCGGCGGTACTCCGCTTCCTGTCCATGCTCAGGAGTCTTCTGGCGGTACACCGCCTGTTGTCAGCCATCCGTCGTCGGCGGTACCCCGCCATCCGTCATCCGTTGTCACCCATCCGTCATCCGTTGTCAACCTTTTCCACCGCCTCACCCACCCTACTTCAACGGCTCGAAGGGCGCCCGCGGCGGCGCGCCAGGCGGGGGCGGCGCCATGGCCGAGCGATGGCCTCCTGCCGAGCGTCAGAGGCTGCAGGAGGCAGCGCTTCTGCGCCCGCGGCGGCGCGCCAGGCGGGGGCGGCGCCATGGCCGAGCGATGGCCTCCTGGCAAGCGTCAGAGGCTGCAGGAGGCAGCGCTTCTGCGGGGCGCATCGCGGGCGGCGCTGGACAGGTGCACGGAATCCAAAAATCATAATGCGCAATGTGTTTGAAGGATGTTTTGTTTGGTCGGCTTTTTCTTTTCAAAATGCCCAACCGATCTCCACCCGCCTTCCCCGCGCAGGGTGGCTCGCGTCCTGCTGCAGGACGACGACGAGCACGTGGCGGCGGCGACCGTGGGCGCCGACGTGGCTCGCGCGGTGGCGCCGCTTCTGGATGTTATCGAATTGCCGCGCCGAGACGGTGGCCCAGCGTTCAGGTGGACTGTATGTTTGCCCGACAAGATCGTCCCCAAGCTGGCCCACGCGGCGGGGCCTTGGAGTGATCGGTTCTGGGCGGCGATGCGGGTGTTTCCTTCGTCGCCATCGCAACCGTGGCGGATGCTGCTCTACCACGACGACGTGGTCGTCGGCGCGCAGCTCAAAGCTGCAAACCGCAGGACGTCCATTGTTGTGTACATTAGTTTTTTGGAGCTGGGCACATACCTTCAAGAAGAGGGCGCCTGGCTCCCGCTGGGAGTCCTTCGGTCAGAGGACAAGAAGGATATCACCGCAGCGGGCGTGGTGAGGGCCATCCTGCGGCGCCTCTTCCTCGGGCCAGGAGGCGGCGGTTTCGACGTCGGCGCGTCTCGGTTGCATTTCAAGTGCCACAGGCTGATCATGGACGAAAGCGCGGGCAAGGACACCTTCTCGTACAAGGGCTCCAGCGGTTGGCGGCCCTGCTGCAACTGCAAGAACGTCGTGCTCGACCAGGGGACTGGCACCCTCAGCCGTTGGGACCCGTCTGGTTACCTGGTGGGCATCGCTTGCGTCGACGCCTCGAGGTTCGACCCGATGACTGCGGAGGCGTCGGGGGCGGGCAATGCGCGGCCGACGCTCGGCGAGTCCAGAGAGTTCACGAACGGACTTCGCGAACTCCCTGGAATTCGCGAGCGGAGTTCGCTCGGCCGGCCCCCGCCAAGGAGTTCGCGAAGGGGTACGACGAACTCGTGGAACTTCAACGCGCGGCGAGTGCAGTGGCCTTCCAGAATCTCCAATCCGCGTACGGCATCACAGTGAACGAGTTCTCGTTGATGGCCGACGTCGAACTCCGACGCGTTTGCTCGCTGGACATGTACACGCGCGACCCGATGCACATCATCCTGGCGAGCGGAGGCACGTTCCAGGTGGAGGTGTTCTGCCTGCACAAAGCAGTGGCGCGCGTGATTCCAGACGTGTGGGATCGGTGGCGAACCGATTTCCAGCGCTGGGCTCCAGGCCGCGGCGGAGGGAAAGCTCCCGTGCATCTCTTCTCCCCTGCCAGGAAGAAAGCCTGCGTCGAGGCAGGGCATTTCGTCGGCTCCGCGTCGGACTGCCTCGCCGTCCTGCCGTTCCTCAGGAACTGGCTGCACGTGGATTTCTTGCCGCATCACGCGCCGTTCCTGCCCCAGGCGCGGTCCTTTGAGGCCATGTATGCCGTCCTGGAACTGTACCTGGCGGCGAAACGCGGCGGCTGCCCAGACACGTTCGATGTCGATTTCAAGCGCCATGTCGGGTTGGCGCTCAGGAAACACGTGCGGGCCTACACGGACGCGTGGATCGTGCCTAAGCATCATTATCTTTGGCACGCAGCTGTGCAGGCGGCGGAGGATGGGTTGATGCTCGACTGTTTCGTGCTCGAGCGAAAACACAAGCTCATCAAGGACACCGCGGAGCACTACGACCGCTTGGGCGGCATGGACAAGGATGTGATCACCCAAGTTGTGGCTGCGTGCTTGCACGAGTCCTCGGCCGCGCCGCGCCAGTCGCACAAATGGTGGCCGACCCCTGAGCTCGACGGGATCATCGGGCAGCGCGGTTGGGGCCAAATGGGCTTTGGTGCACGCGCGAGCCTCCATGGGGGGCGCGCCTGCGGGGGCGCCTCTCGGGGCAACGCCGAGGCTCGCACGTGCACCAGGGCCTATCCAGGCACGGCGCAATCACTTGTCGTCGAGCTGCTGTCGGCGGCCTCGTCTACGGCAGCGGGGACGTGTGGCTCGAGGGCGACGCCGCGTTCCACGTCCACTGCGTGGCGGTGGCCGCGGGGCGCTCCTACCTCATCGTGGAGCCGCTGGACCTGGCGTCGCGGCCTGCGCCTGGGGAGTCCGCGTGGCGGCCACGAGGAGGACCGAGCTGTGCAAGGAGGAGGGAGGGGGAGGAGGGGAGGGAGGGGGAGGAGGAGGAACAGGGGGACGAGGAGGAGGGGAGGAGGAGGGGGACGAGGAAGGAGGAGGAGGAGGAGGAGGAGGAGGAGGAGGGGGACGAGGAGGATGGGATGGCCCACTACGCCGCCGCCCCATAGGATGCGGCGCGCTGGCTGCTGAGGACGCCCCGCGGGCGCCTGCGGCGTACACCCGCCGAGCCGAGGACGGGTCGGTCCGCGCGCTGGTGTAAAACGCGCGCGCGCGGCGGTGCACCGCCTGGCGGTGGGCCGCCTGTTGTAAAAAATCACGTTCGCGCGGCGGTAGCCCGCCTGGCGGCATCCCGCCTGGGGAAAAGGAGGGACGGAGAGGAGGGGGGCGGGAGCGGGGCCCCGCAGGCTGCACGGATCGATGGCGACGCCGACGCGTTTTTGAAAGCGCCCCCGCCCCCCATTTTCCATACGAAAAAGCAGACTTATCGGACTTATAAATTAGATATAAGTTACATATAAGTAAGATATAAGTAAACTAGTTTTGATGAAGATGCTAGATATAAGTACGAAGAAGTAACATACATGCAGCATGTAACATATGTCAACGCCATCACCAAAGCAGGAGCCCAGAGCGGCCTCCGGCACCGTTTCCGGACAGATCCGGCGGATCCGCGGACGAATCCCAAACCGGCGCCCTCGCTTGAGACATCCCCACAAAACTGGCCCCGGGGGAGGTGCCCACAGGCCGGAGCCCAGAGCGGCCTCCGGCACCGTTTCCGGACAGATCCGGCGGATCCGCGGACGAATCCCAAACCGGCGCCCTCGCTTGAGACATCCCCACAAAACGGGCCCCGGGGGAGGTGCCCACAGGAGCCCAGAGCGGCCTCCGGCACCGTTTCCGGACAGATCCGGCGGATCCTCGGACGAATCCCAAACCGGCGCCCTCGCTTGAGACATCCCCACAAAACAGGCCCCGGGGGAGGACGAATCCCAAACCGGCGCCCTCGCTTGAGACATCCCCACAAAACGGGCCCCGGGGGAGGTGCCCACAGGAGCCCAGAGCGGCCTCCGGCACCGTTTCCGGACAGATCCGGCGGATCCGCGGACGAATCCCAAACCGGCGCCCTCGCTTGAGACATCCCCACAAAACGGGCCCCGGGGGAGGACGAATCCCAAACCGGCGCCCTCGCTTGAGACATCCCCACAAAACGGGCCCCGGGGGAGGTGCCCACAGGAGCCCAGAGCGGCCTCCGGCACCGTTTCCGGACAGATTTCCGTTTCCGAGTGGCATCCGGACCGGATCCGCGGACGAATCCCAAACCGGCGCCCTCGCTTGAGACATCCCCACAAAACGGGCCCCGGGGGAGGTGCCCACAGGAGCCCAGAGCGGCCTCCGGCACCGTTTCCGGACAGATCCGGCGGATCCGCGGACGAATCCCAAACCGGCGCCCTCGCTTGAGGCATCCCCACAAAACGGGCCCCGGGGGAGAGAGCGGCCTCCAGCACCGTTTCCGGACAGATCCGGCGGATCCGCCGACGAATCCCAAACCGGCGCCCTCGCTTGAGACATCCTCACAAAAGGGGCCACAGGAGCCCCTCGCCGCTGGTTCGCCCCCTCGCGAGCCTCGCCCTCCTGATGCTCACGCTCTTTCTCCTCTCGATCATTTCCCTCTCGCCCAGAAGCGCGCGCCCCTTCTTCTATATACAGAAACTCCCGATCAACCGCAGAGCGGCCGGCTAGTAATCCACCGGAAAAGGGGGGGGGGTTCTTAATGCCTTCCTGAGGTTAGGTTCTAGCACGCCCCAGCCCGTGGCCAGCTGACAGCTGCACTCACCACAGTTGCCTTGAACATTAGCTAAAGAAAACACAAGGCCGCGGGTCCAACAGAGACGAATCGATGACACGGGTACACCCGACAAATCTAATTTGAAGCTATGTAAAAGCGGGTGCCACCTTCGCGGACGCCGCGAAAGCCTTTTGAACTACCCAAGCTAGTTCTTGGGCCGTGTTGGAACTCCCGTGGGCCGTCTTGAAGTCTATTCTGAGCCACTGGGAAGATCTAGGGACTTCCTCAAGAGCATGGTGGGTCATCTTCGTGGGGCTCCTATG